GGACACAACAGAGCACCAAACAAAAGGTGCAAGGGAGTTGGGTAGCCTTGGTTCTTTCTCTTCCTTATCTATGATTTCTAAAATTAAAATCCTGTAAGTTAGAGTGGCTTATTCCTGGGAACCATGTTCTTTTATGTGGTACGTTAAATATTTTCAGGTTCTAATCTTGTTCAATTACATATTTTTGAGCTCAGCAATTAATCTTTCTTAGTTTCTAATGCATAGTGTCTAAAAGGCAGATAATGATTATCCTTGGATGTTTTTGCTGTGGATTAGCAATAATATCTGCAGTGTACCTATCAAAGTGTTTGGTACTGAGTAGGTATTTAGTAAGAGTGTCTATTTATTAAGTTAACAAAAAGGATGGTACAATTAGCAAAGGCATTAATTAGCAGCAGCATCACCAAATAGAGAACTAGACTAGAGATTCTTGATGGATCACAAATTGAAAAATGTAACCAAGTCACTTTTACAATTAAAATGATTAGAGGATGCAATAAAAAGCCAACAAAGGAAAAATAGAAGTGAATAAGAATGAAGAACAAAAACTAAGACACTAGTTTTCAGGAGTTATTTGGTATCTGAAAAAGTCTGAAGAGTAGCTTTGTTAGAGAGGGATCCAAGAAATTGATAGATGTGTTAGTTACAGAGGTATATACATTTGACAAAACAAACCATAATGTACACTTTATGCACTTTTTAGCCATAGGTCAATTTGCCCTTAATAATAAAAAATGGGATAATACATCAACAACATGGTTACAGTTTTTCTAAAAAAGAAAAATTCCAAGTGTGGGTAAGAATGGAGAACAATTGGAATTGTAGTGAATGACTGGTAGTGTTATTAATTGGTACAAGCACTTGGGAAACTAGATTTTAGCAGAACCTACTAAAGCTAAACATTGGCATTCGCTAAAACCTAGCATTTCATTCTTATGAGTATACACAATAGTATGGCATATGTATATTTACCAAAATTTTTATAGCAGTGTTTATTATAAATAACTAACATCATATAGTACATGTCCATCAACAGTAGAAAGGATAAGTGAAATGTGGTTTATTAATTCAATAAAATCTTTGTAACTGTGAGAATGAACAAACTACACCTACATGCAATAAATATAATAAACAAATATATTACTATATTTGGCACTAGCCGGTTTGGCTCAGCAGATAGAGTGCTGGTCCATGGACCAGAGAGTACTGGGTTCATTTCCTGCTAAGGGCACATACCTTGGTTGCAGTTTGTCCCCAGCCCCCGTTGGGATCATGTGGGTGGCCACCACTCAATGTGTCTCTCTCACATCGATGTTTCTCTCTCTCTCTTCCTCCTTCTCTCCCTCCTGCTCTATCTGAAGATAAATGTGAAGAAAAAAAAATATATATATATATTATATATATATATTACTATATTTGTTATAATTGGACCAATATAATAAACATGATGTTAAATAAAAGGAGCAAAATAAGAGTAGATAATATATGGTTCATCAATACATAGTTCAAAGTCAGGCAAAATTAATCTACAGTGTTGGAAGTCAAGAAAGTGTTCAGCCCTGGCTGGTGTGGCTCAGATGGTTGGGTGTCATCGCATGCACCGAGGCACCGAAAGGTTTCTGATTCAAGTCCCAGTCAGAGCACATGCCTGGCTGTGGCTGGGTGTGGGCTCCTTTCCCCGATTGATGTTCTAGTGTCTCTCTTTGTCTCTCTCTCTCTCTCAAAATCAATAAAAGTATTAAAAAAAAAAAAGAGAAAGTGTTCACCCTTAGATGGGAGTCGTAGGGGCTGGTATGAGGAATGAAGAGGAGTTATGGATTGTAATAATATTTTATTTCTGGATGTGGGTGCTGGGTGCATGGGTGGGTTCACACTGTGAAACTTCGGTGAGCTGTCAATGTTTGATTTGTGTTTTACTTCAATAGAAAGTTTACAGAAAATTTAAGAACACCTCACAGCACTGAGCACAGGAAAGCTGTATGTAAGAAGGAAATAGAAGTCTTGTGTGACAGAAGATTAACAGTGAGAACCAAGTTTTCCAGAAAGAGGATGAGAGATTGGGAATGGGGCTTAGAAGGGGAGTGGGACATACAAAAACTAACAAATAAAATACTGGGCCCCAAAAGGGAGCCAGAGATTGGATATAAATAATGTTGTGAGCAATCTAGCTCAGTTCTACACAAGTGGGGGAAGGGGAAATGTTTAGAGGCTTATTTTTTTCCCAGAGCTGGAAAAAGGTAGTGTTAGTTCTAGGAAAGCCATCTAACATAGATGGAAAGAGAGGCCAACATAGAACCACCATAGTACGGACAGATCAAGGAAGGGAGGCTACACTGGCCAAGTGGTGCATATGTTAGTACTGGGTGTTCTGCTCTCTAATCTGCGGTGCGCTGGGAAAGATGGAGACAGACTGGGAAACCAAGAAACAGCAAAATGGAGCCATTTTACCTGTTTAGCTATTTCTACTACGGTGTTCAAGCCCTTGCCTTCCTATAGGTGCAGTAAGGCTAGTCCCAAATCCTGCCCACATAAGAATTATCTACAAGTAGTACAGGATATCTCTCAATTCAAGGGTCGGGGGATAGATGGGGCTCAGTGCAATCCAAAGGTGCTCTGTCGACCACTGGGCCTGGGTGAGATTGTCATTAGATTCACTCCAGGAAATGAACAGCAGTGATTGTCATATCCTGAAATATGCCTGTTCCACTAGGTTTAGAAGCATATTTAAAACTTTGTTGATGTTCATTTTTATTTGCTTCATCCATAAAATTTAGGACTTTCTCCCTGATTAATAAAACAGGATTTTTAACCAATGCAGTTAGATATTTTCTTGTTATTTCCTTCTCTTTTCTTCAGTATAAATATTGGGGATTTTTCTTTACCACTGTTAATCATGCTATTTTTCTGGTTTATTTTTCCCACAGAACAATGGGGGAAAACACCCTCTGGAATGGAAACTCCACAGAAATTTTTCATGTTATTTAATCTCCTGTATTCAAAGATAATATCAAATATAAGATATTTACTCTGCATTAGTATCAACTTACAGCTACCAGGTGTCCTTAATACTTCAAAAATATAATTGAAAACAAAAGACAAATTGGATTATACCGGTTTTTCCGGATAATATACTTCAATTTGAAAAAAAATATTTGAGGGTGCTATTTGTTGTTCAAATAGGTTTAGTAACATGAGGAGCATGAAGGATTTAAGTAAATAATACACTTAATTTCTCAAAGCGTAGGATTTCTGAAATAGATCACCCTGTGAAAATGCGAAGTTGGGAACATGCCTTTTCATACATTATATAATGTGTCATGGCCTTTCCTGAGATCACACAGTTAGCAGGTAGAACTTGAACTCAGAATCTTATGTGTTTTGTAGGACCCTTCACAATCTTACCTTTTGTAATCCCCTTATTTAAGGCATCTAGACTATTATTTTATTCAGTACCCACAATAGTCAGTATGTGATACATATAGGGGCAGTGATAATTATTATTGAGCACATTTTGAATGTCTTAGAAAATAATCATGTGACTAACATCTAAATGTATAGAAAGATACATTTTCGAGCCATATGAAATTTGAAATTTAGAAATAAAGAAAATATAGTTAAGTTGCATTATAAAAAGTATTAAAACTGAATTTTACTTTTAAATTCTAATTACCATATCTTTAAAAGTATATGTAAATTTTAGTTGAATTGCATGTGTTTTATTCATATGTGTGCTATGTTCAATATCCTCCCTCTAGACCAATTCTATGAAGAATTCTAAAAGTTTAAGTGATGGAAAATGGGATGAAGAATATTCCAACATCAAGGAAAGACAAAAATGTATACATATTTAAATTCTACTTGTGAAGGATAAGATTAATGTTAATTATAGTAAAAATGTTCCTGCCTCTATGACTTGCCTGAAATGCTTTTCCTCCAGGGAGCCTACTGGCTCTCACCCTCGCTGCCCTGGGGTCTCTGTTCAAAGGTCACCCTTTCATTTGAGACCTTCCCTGACCATTCTGTTTAAAAGTGTAATCCTACTCCCAGAACAATTCAGTTTTTTTTTTTTTTTTTACTCTACCATATAGCATGTATTATACTTTAACATCCTATATATTTTGCATATTTATTTTCTTTACCATCTGTCTCCTTTTACTAGACTGTAAGCTCTAAGGAGGTAGAGATTTTGATCTGTTTTGCTAACTGTTGTATTTCCAGTACACAGAAAAGTTGTGGATACTGGGTTGTTGTTCAATAAATACTTGTTTACACAAAGAAAGCAAGATGAAAGGAAGGAAGGGAAAAAGTAGAGAGAGAGAGAAAGAAACAGAAGTGGAGGGAGGCAGGAAGGCCAAAAGTTGTGTAAAAGAACAGTATTTTGCCCCTGGCTGGTTTGACTCAGCGGTTAAAGTGTCGGACTGCAGAACAAAGGGTTACGGGTTCGATTCAGGCCAAGGGCACGTCCCTTGGTTGCGGTTCATTCCTGGCCCTGATCAGGGTCATGTGGGAGGCAGCCAATCAATGTGTATCTCTCATATCGATGTTGATCTCTCTCTCTCTCCCTCCCCCCCAAATCTATCTGAAGATATTGAGAAAATATCCTCAGGTGAGGATTAAAAAAAATATATATATATATATATATAATATAGCCTTTGTAATAAAGTACCATTGATAGCATCAACTATTATTTCCAGCTGTTAATTAATACCCTTGATACTACTGATAGATTGAGAGAGAGAGAGAGAGAGAGAGAGAGAGAGAGAGAGAAAACACACAGGGAAGAAGGAAATAGACAAATAAAGAAAAGAAGGCTCATAAAGGACAGAAGAAGTAAATAGCTGATCAGAACTGGCCTTGACAGTTTGCATTATTTTGCTTGATCTTCATAAGGAATCTGTAAGGCAGGGAACTTGAGGTTTGCCAATGGATACTGAAAACTTAGGTTGAAGACAGTGCTCGCCCAAGCACTCAGAGTCTAGGGATGGAGAGATAGTGCGAGGCTAGGAGGATATAAACCCAGGTTTCCCATGCCCCATGCTAGGCTTTTTAAAGGTTTCTGCAAAGAAAAGAATGAAGAACTGTAGAGGGAAAGTAAATCATGTATCACTTCATAATGTTTGCCAAGGTCATAATTTATCCTAGTGAAGATATTTCCATTTGTATTTGAAGATTGATTTACACGTTGAAAAGCTATTTCTTAAATGGCACAAGATTATTTGCATTAATAGCATACATACTAATACCACCATTCCATTTTAAGGAAGTTATCCAAAGATAATGATCAAGAACTTGTATGAAAATAAAATAAAAAGTACATTTACTTCAGTTTGGTGTGTACAGTGGGATGAACTTCTGCTGTATTAACAAGAATAAATAGAGCACCTAGAGCCATTAATAAGAGGACATTTTAGAGACTTACCTAGAACTTTGCTGTAGTACAAATTCCATTCTCCCCAATAGGACTGAAATATATAGTCTTGCAGAGGATAAGAGATGGTATTTTTAACCCTTTCACCAAAGGTCATCTGGTCAGTGAGCTCTGACAAGGCTGCAGGTACATAGGAGGCAGGTGTGGGGATTTTCCCACAGTGTCTCTCTACTGTTGAGGCTGGAGAGAACCTCAATGTGTACATAAATGGAATTCCTAATTTCACAGCAACCAGGTCCCCACAGATTGTTACTGGGTCAGCTACCAACACGTCAAAACCACCTTTCTGAAGTCTTGACATTAACTTGGGGTTGCTTAATACTCCATCACAGATTTGCTTGTTAATTTGAAAAAAAGTATCCAGGAGTTTTCCTAGTTCTTTGTAGAAAGTCCAGAGTGTGAGAGGAGTTGGTCTGTGGTCTATCCACAGCATTATCATATGCTCAATTAAGGAATCTATATTACTCTTCTTGAAGGAAACAGGTATCCCCTCAAAATTCACAGGAGAATCAGGATCGGAGTTGATGAATAACGTTGCTGATGAAGCCAGTATGGTCACATTGTGATTTCTTTGAGTCAACTCTTCTAGAATGATCTTAATATTTAACCAATGGCTACCATCTGTTGGCCAAATTAGCACATTTCCACTGAAAACATTTTCAGTCAGAGTCAAATTAAAAATCAGCAGAAAGACAAAATTCTTAGGCATGATGATATCCATTGTAGAAACCAACCTACTGTAGCTCTTTGCAGATGAGAATAAACTTTCAAAGTATAGTTAGGTAAGTATTTTTTTAAAATAAAATAATATTTAATGTAACAGCTACACTCAAACGTCAATTGATCTATAGATGAAAAGGAAAACAATGTAAATAAAATTCTTATATACGTTAATATGATTATTTCAACAACAGAAATGAAATATTGTCCTATTTTAAAGAACAAAAAGCAGGCAAGTTATAAGCCTAGTATCTGTGATAATAACTATTATTTATAAAATGTGTCTCCAGTTTACTATATCTTTCCAAAATTAGGTTAAACAAAAAGTAATACTTCTTATTGATAAAGCCACTTTGTCAAAACATATAGTACCTTCAAGTTGTATGTCTTTATTATAAATTATTTTTAAAAACATACAAATTTGATTAGCCATAGAAAATTTTCACCAATTAGAATACTGTCCTCTTACTTTCAGTCAAGTTTTCATTTTCATTTCTGTTTACTTTAAAGGAGAACTTCAAAAGGGAATATAACAGATATAAAGTATTCATATTTAATTATATTTAATAGTATCTGGTATATAACACTTGCTGAAGATCATTTAGCTCATCCGTATAAAATTAACAAAATAAAATTTCTTAAAATGTGTATAATGCTATTAGTTTGAATCGAGAATCCTTAAAACAACATTTTTGTATGAAAGTTCTTTCGTATATATTTTCCACCCCAAGACATGCCCTGATTTGAAGGTCTCTTCTTCCTGTGGGTTTCCGAAGCATTGCACAGGATGGCTGGCATTTCACTGTGCTCATTCATTTCTCACTGCCTCTCAGAGTTAGAGGTGGCCCCCGAGGCCACAAACGTCTAGAAACCAGCCTTAATACGCTTTTAGGGACATGAGTTGTGAACTCCTTAGTAACTTTAAAGTTTTAGCCTCACATCAGTGCTTCGATTTTATTTGAGTTCCTTGACTGACATTTAGTTAATTCTTTTGAATGCTTACATTTAGATAAACGTTTTCCCTTTGTTTTGTTGTATATAAACTGAGAATCTTTCTAGAGTTTTCATTTTAGCCCAGAGTCTGCCATCAAATGCTTCACCACTTTCCTGATTGTAATCTCATGTGAATTACTCAGCTTTCTCATTACCAGACGGGGGAGAACGGTGGTGCTGATTTCCTAAAGCTGTGAGGGCTGAATGCGACGATGCACACAGATTATTCAGAAGAGACTCTGTGTGCAATCCATGTTAGCTACATAGGCTATTGTAAGAAGACGGTCTGACTTTTAAAGACGACCTCTTTAACCAGATCTCATCACTTCTTCTCATTCCTCTTACTGAGGTGCCCCAGCTGTGGTACCAAGGGGAAGCAGAGTTGCCACCCTGGGGTATGCCTTTTGGGATATTAATAATTTTAAGCTGGCTATTTTCAAGAAATGAAAGACTGAAAAAAAAATTCTACTTTCCCCTTATTGCCTAAAAGAATTAGATAAAGAACCTGCTTCAGAAAAGGAGATGTCATCACAGATAACTGTAGTTTAATATAACTAGTGTGTGATGGACAAGGCTCCTTTGATCAAGGTCGTCTCTGTGCTCTGTTGTTCAAGATGGCCCAGCAAACAATTATTTACCAAACATTTGCTTTTCTATCTCCATGCAAATTGCCTTCCACCCTTTGAAGCTGCAAACTACACCACCCCTCTCTCCTTAGCTCAACGTGGCATGTATGGCCACCTGCCTGAGCTGTCCTGGGTCTCACGTGCTATGGAATCCCTATATGTACATACACAACAATTTTGGCTGTTTCCTACTGTTAATCAGATTATTAGTTCAGTACCAGAAACTCACTTTGGCCTTTTAGTTTTAGATTAATAATATAAAACTCAAGATTATACCCATAAAAATAACAACCTCCATTCTCTTTCACTGAGTGGTAGAAAAAATGAGTGATAGCCTTCTCTGAGAACTGGGATGTCCCACCACAAACTCCATCCTGGATGTCATGCCTGTGGCTGTTACCCAGCTCCTGGGTCATTGTGGAAAAGGTGATGCTATGAGCAGCTATTTGAAAGATTATTTTAAAAAACCAAGATTTAGTTAAATTTTAGAATAGAGGAAGAAAAGAAAGAAGGAAAGAAGAATGCAAAGGGAAGACTAGGAAGAAAAAGAAAATAAGAAGGAAAAGAAAAGATCCAACCCAAAATATATTACTATTCAGGGAAAAGACTCCAATACATTATTTTCTCCTTTAAATGTTTACTGTCCTGTCCTGTCCAGTGTGGCTCAATTGGTTGGAGCATCATTCTGTACACCAAAAAGTGTCAGGTTTGATTCCCTGTCAGGACACATACCAGGTTTCGGATTCAATCCCTAGTTAGGGCGTTTACTGGAGGCAGCCAGTCCAACCAATCAATCAATCAATAAAATGTCTTCTGTAAATCAAACATTTTGGAGATATACACACTCAAATTTGTTTCATTTCTATCACCTAAACTTTATGTTAATTACCTGTGCTCTGTGAGTACTTAGTTCATGCAAAGATCTAAATATTATGGTCATTGCCCTGGCCAGTTTTGCTCAGTGGTTAGAACATTAGCCCACGCCAGCCGAAAGGCAGCGGGTTCAATTCCAGTCAAGGGCACATACCTGGGTTTCAGGTTTGATCCGCTGCCCCCCAGTTGGGGTTGTGTGGGAGGCAACCAATTGATGTGTTTCTCTCACGTCGATGTTTCTCTTTCTCTCTTCCTCCTCCCCTTTCATTCTCTAAAAATCAATGGAAAAATATCCTCAGGTGAGAATTAACAAAAAATAAATAAATACATCTTATGGGCATAATCTTTTCTTTTTGAATATCTGTTTTTTTCCTATTTAAATAAATATATTTACAAGATAGTTTATTGTTATTATAGATAGCATTAGTTCTTAGAAATCATTTAATTGTTTATATATAACAATACATTAGGTATTTATACATATCTAATATATAAAGATTACTCACACAAATAAAAATCTGTTTGTTTTTACAGTGGCCAAAGTGTAAAATTGATAGTAATAGGTAATGTTTATGGATTATGCATTTATTTTATTTTTGTAAATCCTCATCCAAGGATACTTTTCCATTGATTTTATTTTACTTTTTAGTTCCAGTGGGAGGGAAGGAGGGAGGGAGCGAAAGAGAGAAACATGGCTGTGGGAGACACATGGACGGGTTGTCTCCTGCACGACCCCAACCCGGGGCTGGAGATCGAACCCACAGCCCAGGAACATGACCTCGACCAGGAATCAAACCCAGGACTCTTTGGTCCTCGGGCCAATATTCCAACCACTGAGACAAACTGGCCAAGGCAGGATTATAAATATATATTTTTTACTGGAATTAAAATGCTAGATTATTCTTTCCTTAAATGTTTCCCCAATTTTTGTGACTTTTTTGTTGTTAATATGAATGTAAAAATCAAATCTACCTGGTTCAACTTTAAACAAATCTATTTGAAATCTGTAGCAGGCTTTTCTTTCTTAGTTAAAGAGATGCTTTCTCAAGACCAGAAAGCTATCCTCAGGCAGATTTCTCCAGGCAACGGAGTCGCGTTCCCTCCGGATAACATGGCCCAGGGAATTACCATTCCACAGACTAAAACAGATGAGACACAGGACAGATTTCAAAAGCTATTATACTGAAAGGAAGAGGAAAGTACCCAAGAAAATTTAAACCTAAAATATTCTAAATAGTTACTAGATTTGCACCCAAAATTTTAAAAGGAGAGAAAAAATTTTCTAGAAGTGTTAGCATCAGAAAGACTTCAGTTTGAAAACCATTTTCTCAAACTGGTACCTATATGATTTTATATGTCATGTTTGATATTTCTAAGCCTCAAGATTTTTATCTGTGATAGTAGTTTTTTTCTTCACAGATTTATTGCAAAGGCTAAGAGATATAATACACATGTAGCCCTTACCACAATGTCTAGTGCACGGGATGAGATCAATACATGTTAACTACTATTACTATAATGATGTTCATGAATTTGAACCAAATAGCCATGACTTGAAATAAAATAAGTCATTTGACGTTATAATATCCAATTTCTAGCAATTAGCAAAGATTAAGGACTCACTTTGAGGTTCTCATTGCATTACACTGCAGAAAACTAATCTTACAGAAAGTCATTCTATTTATTTACTCAGGTGTGACAATTTGAGACATGAGTGTATATGGATTCTTTGCAATGACTTTGCTTAGAGCAGTCAAGCTAAAGTAAAAGATAAATTCAAGTTACAAACTGGAAATGTTATTTTTACGCATCAGTTCTATTTATCATTCACATTTATCACATGTACAAAGACTTGCACAAAAAGAAATTACTCTGCTGGTCAGTACTTTTACTTCTTACCTGGTGTTTTTGAGTATGAGCGTTCATGTCCCTGGGCATCAATAAGAATGTGCTTTAGTAAGACAGACTTAAATAGTCATTCTAAGTCAGAAGAGTATAATTTGATTAGAAACATGATATTATCAAAATCAGAGAGTAAGAAGATTTTTAAGAATCTTTATTACGTCCTATGAACAAATTGTTAAGGAGTATTAGGCTCGTGTGAAGAGCTGAAGAAGAGTGGAATAGCGTGATTTTATTACTAGCATTAACTTACAAGCACAATACAATGAAACTTGTGATACTGAGACTGCCAGCTTGGGGAAGGCTTATCTGGGAATAATCTCACCAGCATGAATAAGGAGCATTGTAATCATGATAATTATTACTTCAAGGTGAAGAAGGAGCAGTTGATAAAAGTTTAAATAATGAAATAAAAATAGAGACATATATAGTGAGCAAGGCACTCTCCACGTACCTTCCTCTACTTTATGAACTGAGATGCTGCACATACTCAGTCAGGTGCATCTGTTAGTTTACAGCACGCAAGAGGAGATTAAAGAGATTTTGCAGCTATTAACAGCTTCATTGCCTCATAAAATGACCATTTCTTCATCCTCTATTTCTTACTTTTAGCTCCATGATGTTGACTAATTGCTTCTGTCATCATAGGATAGTTTATAATCCTCATAGTAGCTATGCTTATTCTCTCTGAATCACAGAATACGAAGGTCTTTGTTTACATTCCGAAAGGAAATCTATTTTGTAATTTGGGGGCAACTATTTAACATATCTAGAGAAGGTGATGCACCAATTAGAACTAACACTTCTCCTAACACTGCTCAGCAATAAACTCATGCTTATATGGTCAATTCATTTATAGAAAAGGGTTCAAGAATATATAACAGGGAAAGGAAATCTCTTTCATAAACAGTGCTGGGAAAATTGGACAAAAAATAAAACTGAACACTATCTTAACACCATATACAAAAATTAACTCAAAATGGATTAAAGACTTAATTGTATGACTGAAACCATAAAATTCCTTGAAGAAAGCATAGGCAGTAAGCTTCTTGACATTGGTCTTAATGATGACACTTTGGCATTTGAAACCAAAAGCAAAGACAATGAAAGCAAATATAGCCCACTGCTGTGGCTCAATGGTTGAGTGTTGACCCATGCACCAGGAGGTCGCCAGTTCGATTCCTGGTCAGGGCACATGCCCAGGTTGTGGGCCAAATCCCTAGTGGTGGCCAGTTGATGTTCTCTCTCATCAGTACTTTTATCTCTCCCTCCCTCTCCCTTCCTCTGTCTCTAAAAATTAATAATGGAAAAAAAAAATTTTTTTAAGTAGGTATAAACAGTGGAACTACATAAAACTAAAAAAGCATCAGCACAGCAAAGGAAACCATCAACAAATGAAAAGGCAACCTACTATATGGAAGAAAATATTTGCCGATAAGGTGTTAATGTGTAAAATATATATAAATTCATACAACTCATTAGCACAAACAAACCTGATTAAAAATGGGCAGAAGATTTGATGATTTTCTAAGGAAGACATACTAATGGCTAACAGGTACATGAACAGGTGCTCTACATCACTAATCATAAGGGAAGCACAGGTTAAAACCACAATGAAATATCACCTCACACCTGTTATCAAAAAGACAAGAGATAACAAGTGTTGGTGAGGATATGGAGAAAAGGGAGCCCTCATGCACTATTGGTGGGAATATATATTGGCACAGCTGTTTTGGAAAACAGTACAGTCACGTACCACTTAAAGACCAGTATTAAGTTCTGAAAATGCATCATTGGGCAATTTTGTGGTTATGCAGACATTGCACTTAAGCAAACATAGATGATAAGGTCCACTGCACACCTCGGCTACATGTCATAGCCTATTGCTCCGAGGGTACAAGCCTGTACAGCATGTTACTGTACTGAATACTGCAGGTAATCCTAAAATAATGGTAAATATTTGTGTATCTAAACATAGAAAAGTACAGTGAAAACACAGTATGAAAGATAAAAAATAATACCCTGGTGTCAGGCACTTACAATGAGTGGCGCTTGCAGGAATGGAAGCTGCTCTGGGTGAGTCAGCGAATGAGCGGTCCCTGAGTGTGAGGTCTGGGATATGGCTGTACACTACTGTAAATTTTAAACACTGCGCTTTGGCTACACTAAGTTTGTAAAACAACATGAGATTAAATCAAGCACAGAAAAACGTGATGCAATCAAGCAACGCAGTAAACACAGGAGTGTGAGGTCGCTGCTGGTATAACACGGTACACTGTTTTACAGCAAACTGTTTTAAGAGGTAGACAAGGGTACAGTCTAAAATAATCATGAAAAGTATACTTGTGCAACTATATAAACCAGTTAACAGTTTATTATTAAATATCATGAACTATACTTCATTTTATGTGCTATACTTTTATGTGACTTTTGGCACGGTAGGGTTGTTTGCACCAGTGTTACCACAAGCACAAGAGTGATGCGTTGTACAACAGTGCTGTAGATAATGGACCACATGTATGAGGGATAGTAAGTAGTAGATACTTGCTCTCATTATGAGGGGATAGAAATTTTCAGCTCCATTATAATTTTATGAGACCACCCTCATATATGTGGTTCATTGTTGGTCAAAACATTATTATGCACTGAATGACTTTAAAGAAATTACTCAAAATATTAAAAACAGAATTATAGAATGATCTGTCAATTCCATGTTCATAGCAGTATTATTTACAATGGCCAAGACATAAAAAACCTAACTGTTCATCGATGGATGAATAATAATGCAAATATGGTTGATATATACAATGAAATAATATTCAGCCATAAAAAAAGGAAATCCTGTCACTTGCAACAACATGGATGGAACTTGAGGGCATTGTGCTAAATGATATAATTCAGAGAAAGACAATACCATATGATTTCATTTATATTTGGAATCTTAAAAAAAGAAGAAAGAAACATAGAAAAAAACCAAACTCATAGGTACAGAGAACAGGTATTTGCCAGAGGCGGGAGTAAGGGGCGAACAAAATGAGTGAAGGGAGTCAAAATGTACAAACTTCCAGTTGTAAAATAAATAAGTCATAGGAATATAATGTACAGCATGGTTACTACAGTTAACAATACTGTGTTGTGTACTTGAAAGTTGCTAAGAGAGTAAATCTTAAAATTTCTCATCATAAGAAAAAACCCTGTACCTATGTGTGGTGATGGATGTTAACTAGACTTATTGTGATCATTTTGCAATATGTACAAATATCAAATCATTAATATGTTTTATGCCAATTATAAAAGAAATAATTTAATCTCTTTCTCGCCCCTTATAACACTTACCAATTAGCCATCAGTTTATATTAATTTTACCTGCTAAACAACTAACACTAATTGAACAGTTTTTATCTTCTAGACACTATTCTAAAATGTTCTTATGTGTTAACTAATGTAGTCCGTTCAGTAGTAGCCCTGTTTGAGATGGGATAAGTAAGTGTAGGTACAAAGAAACTTAATTACTTTTTATGATCACACATGTAAGCAGAAATTATTTTTCAAGAACCTGCTCTACTGTATGTGTTACTCTGTATTCCCATCTGCATTATTTTTCTAGTTCATAAGCTATTTCTCTAATATATGCTTTTACCACATCTTTCCTGGAACAACACAGTGGCCTACAGTCTAACCTTTGTCTACTTTAGGTCCACATCTGTCCATGTGTTTTATATAAGGTGAAGTCTAATCATAATACATCTCTTTAAACTGTTTCCAGTTACTTGTTAGATATGAATCAAGATGCATAGCATGACATACAAGATGCTTTGAAAATATTTAATTTATTCATTCTTGCAATATTGACATCTTCAGAGTTCTTTCTCATACCTCCCCACCTTATACTTTGACCTTCCTAAATACTGAGTCATCAGTAATACCCACCACACATGTGCTATTTCTAGGCTCCACAACATTGGGTACACTGTTTCTTTCCCTACACTTAGTTTTCAAAAAAATTCAAAAATATAAATTTTTTAATTTCTTTGTGTATCACTTCAACTCTGAAATTTTTCAGAATAGTATGTTGTCCTGTCATATACGGCCTATTTCCATTATACCATTTCTGTTTTTTATATATATTTTCATTACCCACATCATTTATATTGTAAATATTCCCTTTCATGTCTAAATTTTTAGTTTTTGAATTTCTTGAAGCCAGGAATTTCATCTTAGTCTTTGTTGTACCCTCCCTATCCAAGGAAGTGTCTAGTAAACAGTGAGAAAATATGAGCAATGATCAGAGATTATTGACTAACATGGGTGTTTTTAAATACACATACACAGACACGAATGTGAATATTAATATTGGGCTCATAGAAAGCTTAAACTCTCAACTTCCCACACACACCACTGAAGTTTCTGGGCAATTTGTATTTTCAATGCAATATGTAAATGAGAATCAAGTCCTAATTTTATTTATTTGTTTGTTTGTTTGTTTAAATCCTCACCCAAGGATATTTTTCTATTGCTTTTCAGACAGAATGGGAAGAAGAGAGAGCGAGAGAGAGAGACATCGATTGGTTGCCTCCTGCACAACCCCAACCAGGGCTGGGGATCAAATTGTGACTGAGGTACGTGCCCTTAACCAGAATCAAACCCGCAACCCTTTGATCCTCAGGCTGACACTCCAACTGGTGAGCCAAACCAGCCAGGGAGAGAATCAAGCCCCAATTTTAAACTAAGGTATTTTTTATGTTAGGCATAAAAAATGCATTTGGTATCTTCAAGTCCATAAAATTAGAAAACAACACAGTATGGTTCCAAAGCATATTGTATTTTATGTTCTTTCCTACTATCAAATTATAATAATACTAATCAATATAGAGAATTGAAAAGAAATAGTCATAGGAAACAAAAAGAGGTCATAAAAAGCTCTGTTTGTTTAACTTCAAATAATACAAAAAAAGCTACATACCCAAAGCTTTACTATAGTAGGAATCCCATGAATTCCAAAGAGTATCAAACATGTAGTCCTGTAGATGGTAGGAGATGACATTTCTTATTCTGTCAGTAAAAGACATCTGGTCGGTGAGTTCTGATAAAACAGCAGGAACATAGGAAGGAGGGTATGGTGTCTTCCCACAGTGTTTTTCGACTGTCGATGCTGGAGAAAACCTCAAGGAGTACATAAATGGAATTCCAAGTTTTAAAGCTACTATATCACCACAAGGAAACACGGGATCTGATACCAGGACCTCAAATTTGCTTTTCTTCAGCTTTTCCATCAGCTTTTGGTTTTTGAGAACACCATCACAGATTTCCCTACACAGCATGTGGAAATCCTTGAGGACTCTGCCGATCTCCTGATAGAATCTCCAAATGGTGGAAGGAGATGGTCTATTTCCCATCCATGCCAGAATAAAGTTCCTGATCACTTGTTCCACTCTTTCTTTTCCAAAGGGTACCTTATATATTTCAAATGTCAGAGATGGGTTAGAGGTGGGCTCGATGTAAAGTGCACCAGAAGCAACTAGGACAGTCACATTATGCTGTTTTTTAATCAGCTGATCTATAATAATCTTAATATTTAGCCAATGACTACCTTCCATTGGCCAAATCAGAACATTTCCACCAAGAGTGATTCCCAGGAGACTTATCTGGAGAGATAACAGCAGAATGGTTTTTCCAAACATGATGTGGCTTGAGGTTGAAGATTTGATGAGCTATGACACAAAGGATTTTCTCTGCGTTTCAAACAAAAGGGAAAGACAAATTATTTTTTAGTTTGATTCAAACCAATGATATACTTAAGAGCTTTCTCTCTATCAAATGATATTTGTCATGGTGGCTTCATATTTTGTGATCATTACAAGTTCAGGGGTAACATGTGTTGTATCTGTCAACCTGTTGCTGTATCTTCAGTTGTTATTCTTTTTCTTAAACTTGATCCTTCAACCCTTTCTTTGCAGCTCATAATTGATAAATTCTTACTATTAGATTGCTGGAAGCCAGTGTCTATCTGACCTCCACACTCAGGCTGGAACTGAAGCTTCAGATGTGATCCAAAATGTAAAGATGCAAATTCTACAGTTAGCTTAGAACATAGAGATGCTTATTCCATAGGTTTTTAAATATTTAATATATTTTATATAATGTCATTAGCAAAAATAATTATTATAGTTACTAATTATTAATAGATAAATTTATTACAGAAAGAATACTTAAAATGTGAAGTGCAAACATTGTAAGTGTAATCTTTATTACTACTTTATCTTAATAAAGTAGAGAAAAAGATTGCAAGTAAATAAATAAACTGAGTACTAGTATATGTGCAGGCGATAATTTGTAATGTTACTAGCGAATAGGAGCTCTTTGAAAGAATTGCTAAGTCAAGCATGCTTCTATGGAAAGTGCTGCTCTAAAAGCTAGCTAGCCTGTGTGAATAACAACTACTTTACATCTAGACTCAGCCTGTCACAATTGCTAGCATTTGTTAACTGCTCACTATGTGTCATTGTGCAATGTGTTGTACATATGTTGATATCATTTACTTTGTGCTAAAAAAAAAGATCCCATAAAGTAGATATGGTAATCATTAAAGAAGGAAACATCGGTCAAAGAAGCTGAGTAACTTGCCAAGTTCATAGAGCAAAATCATAAAGGAACCGATAGCAGCTGCCTTAAGGTCCTTTGGCTCTCAAGCCTATCGTATTGAGAAAATTGATACAATGGGAGCCATTTCAAAACAAAACCACCATCCCCAGCACAGCTTGCTCCTTGAACATTTGGAATGTTTGGACTGAGCAAAATAACCTTTGGAGTGAGCCAAACCAACATTGTCTTAAAAAGAATTGTTTGTGAAGTTAACAGGAAAGCAGACCTCCTCACCACAAGGACTGATGATTTTGGACATTCTTAATCAATAACATGTGTAGTTAAAAGAGTAACTTAGCTTGTTAGCATCAATAGAAATCCCCTTCTTCTATTCATGTAATTTTCTCTCTTCCCTTTCTCGTAAAAACCTTTTTCTTCACCCACTGCAATTGGGATATAATTTGGGTTTTTTCCTGAATTTACACCAATGGATTGCAGTCTGTTTTGATCTCAAATAAATGCTTGTTGTCTCTCACTTTGGCTTTTTATTTTTAAGTTAGCAGCATTAAGCACCAGACAGAGTGCCTCATCAGAGTGTATCATGTCATGTTTTAAACTATAAGGCAAGTCTTCATTAGAGACTGGTATTTGATACTCATCTTGGAGTTTAAAGTATTAAAAACAAAACAACAGGCTCCAAATGGAGTCACTTATGCTAACACCCATGTCACCAACCCAAGTTGTTACCTAACTTCATTATAGTTTCAATTTCTCCCCAGAATGGAATCTTAAACCAGTACTCAGAAATTGCCTAGTTAACACTTGCGAGATAGTGTGACCATAGACCCCTACCCTCCAGAGGTGGGAACTGTCCAGCCCACAGGCCATGTAAGGCCTCCGAAACCGATACCAGCTAACATCACCATCCCCAGCACAGCTTTCTCCTTGAACATTTGGAATGTTTGAACTGAGCCGGGGAAGGGTTACACCTCACCAAGATAGCCTGACCAAATATAGCTGGCTAATTTTTAAGTTGATAATTTTGTATGGCCCGAGAATAATGTTATAAATATCCAAATGGTCCTCGGTGGAAAAATGTTCCTCACTCCTGCAAGGTGACTTTCCACAGTCTGGTTTCTGTTAGTGTAACTTCCTTGTCCTGCTCCCTTCTGCCTGTAAGTCTTTCATTTTGTGCAGCTTCTCCGAGCTCCTATCTGCTGGATGGAATGCTGCCCGAATCATGAAGTGTTGAATAAAGTCAGTAACATCTTTAAAATTTACTTAGCTAATTTTTTTTTTTTAACAGAAGTATCTGGACATGAGCGATAAACAGTGTATACAAAGGAAACTTTGTACAGCTATGCTACATCATAAACTATGTTACATCATAAACAAATTGTTTGATTTTTTTAAAAAAATATCGCAGTAATTGTGACTTTGAGAAAAACACCTTTTGAGAAAAAACACCAGTTTGCTTTTCTCAGTTACTGCCTAGGCATTTTACAGTATGACAACCCTACTTACATTCAGACAATGGACATTTAGATAAGGACCTGAGTTTGAGAAGCCCATCATAAGTTCCACCTCACTTTTCACAGAGCACCTTTTAAAAGGACCACCCAGCCCGGCCAGTGAGGCACAGTGAATAAGGCACCCTCCCATGGACTGAGAGGTCCCAGTTTCATTCCCTGTCAGGGCACATGCCCGAGTTGTGGGCTCCATCCCCACTGCGGGGCGGGCAGGAGGCAGCCAATTGCTGTTTCTCTCTCACATTGATGTTTCTATTTCTCCCTTCCCTCTCTCTAAAAAATCAATAAAAACATATTTTAAAAAATTAAATAAAATAACCACTTAGAGTTAAGCCTGGGAAAAGTTAGTCACCTCCACCCCAACCACCTTTTAAGTAGTGGGTGTTTGCTACCCTGCTCTCGATCTCCTGCGGGCCTGTGATCTGGGGCTGGAGTCTGCCCTTCCCCGGCTCAGCTGCGCCCTTCGCTTCTGGGATCTGTGAGTAACAAATCTATGACTCTATTTCTAGTGTATGGGTCTATTAAAACTGCACTTCCAGTGCAGATGACCCAGTCAGTGGACTTCATGTCCCCAAAGTGAAAGCTTGGATACTGAAGGTGCTGCCTGCCACCGCTGTGTGGGTGGCTTGTGTCCCCTCACTCAGCAGGCATAACTATTTCTAATTCAGTAACCAGCTCCAGCTGCCAACACAGTAACGTGACCAGTGTTAAGAGATTTCTCAAACTGCTGAGGTAAATTTTAGGTTTTAGATTTGATTGGTTTCCTGAACTTAAAAAATTAAAATAAAGAAATCATAAAATTAAATGAAGAAGTTATTGAGCATAAAGGTTTAAAAAGGTGGTGAACAAAAGGCTTTTCCAAAATGAAGGGCCAAACTTGTGATTTTAACTATTCTGATCTTAAGATCACTGAAAAACTAATCTGTTTCTGGACATTTTTAAGAAACTATACACAACACTAAGACACACGTATTTGTGACATCAGGTGTGTTCAAAGAAAAATGATGATATTTAAAAAGAAGCTAGTATATACAAATATTTTTATCACAGATAATAGTAAAAAATCTAATTAATTGCACAAAAAAGCAGTAAGCATAGTACTTATTAATACCACAATTGGTTATTGATGCTACAACAGTATTTTCCTGAGAAACTTTAAATTTCCTATTTTTAATAAATAAATTTGATTTTGCATAAAACTTATTTTATATATAAAACATATAAATTTAAAATATATAAATATAATCCATTGCACAATATTAAGAAAATAAAATACCCACAAAAGATGCCATCTTGATTCTTATACTCGCACTGTTTTGAAGAGCATTGTTGTCACTTGTAAGAACATTTTTGCCTTCACTGTGCATTAATATAAATCTTATTTGCTATTTAATGTGTGCCTAATGAAGAAACAAATGATCTCTCCACTGGTAGGAAGTAGAGGCAATAGAAAAACTTTTAAAGAGGCCAATGATCTCACGCTTAGGCAAAACTTGCAATTTACTCCTCTATAATACACTTCCCTCAATATCTGTACAGTTATTCTGGAGTGTATCTCCTGGGAGGAAAAATCCCTCAAATTATTTAAAAATAGAACTAAAAACGTTTCAAAGAGAAGGATAAAACAACCCAAAGTTAACCCACAACCTTGTAATGGTTGATTTGTTTTTAGAAAAAAATATAAAGTAAATTCAAAGGTTTATTACACAGTGCTTTTACATAGCTTAAATGCTCATATATTGCTTTAAATTTCTTACCTGATGTTTCCAGCTGGATCTTTAATAAGAATCATTTGCCACTAGGTAGCTGAACTTAAATAACCCCCAGTTAGGTGAGTGTGGTATGATGAGAAATATGATCTTAAAATGAGAAAAGATTATACAGATTGGTTTACTCTTAGCATTCCTCATGCATTACATTATTAATCAGATGACCATTTGTTAAAGGTGTATCCTTCCACTGCTTTCCTGGCAAGTATTCGCACTGGATATTGCCTTTGCTGCCATGGTCTCCACTGCTCCATCAACCAAGAATGTCAGCTATATCTAAAATAATGACTGGTGGTTATTAATAATCTTGGGTATTATCAAGTATGAAAATTAATATCTCTTAAACTCACAACATAAAATTATTATTATTGGTTATAAAAAGAAATTTTAAGAAATTGAAGTGTCTTTTTTTTCTGAGTCCTATAATGAGAGTTAGTTATATTAATTCAAATGTAGAAACTATAGCAAAGCTGAATTGCTCTGAATAATGAAGAAATATCTCTGAAATATCCTGGTGGTTTTATTTATTTATTTATTTATTTATTTAAAAAGGTACTAACTTAGAATGTTAAATATGTGTTTTACAGCTTTATACTTTCATTATGCCACATCCCTGTGAATGATAATTATCATTATGTTTCTTTATCCAACTGTTTTAAAGGAAGTTAAAAGAAATAAAGTTAGTATGTCTTTCACCATAGAGTCCCAAAACTGTTATTTGTACTGATAACTAAGTACTAGAATAGAACATGACCATTTATTTTATTTAGTGGTAAACAAATGTGGCAATAATTTCATACAGATTTTAAGTAAGGGTTAGTCCCTTAAAGATGCACTTTTTGTGGCGGTAATGGAGAGAAAAGGAAGGGAAACATAAGAAGCAGCACATTGATCTTCAATTCAAGTCTGCTTACACTGGATACACCTACCTACAAATATTCTTGATCAGATAAAAGAAAATCAGCACCTGTTTTATTGAATGATTTCTCCGTTTTTGAATTGCTGATATAATTTACCTATCAGCTAAATGAAATGAGTCTTCAAGGAAATATTTCAGGACAAGCCCTCAGATAAGAACTTTTTCAGGGACTTTTTACATTGAGTAATAAATCTTTCATATACACACCTGGATGAAAGCATGGGTGATAACTGATTTCTTTGATATCTTCATTTTTCACAAAATATTTATTAGCTCATACTCTATTGTCTTTTCTCCAATTCTGGTTACAAAAAGCACTGAAACCAACAACTATTTTCTGCAAAAAGCCAATGTGTATATGTGGTTGTTAGTATGTGTGTGTTTGATTTATATTATTCCTATAAATTATGTTATAATGTTTCTAAGTACTGAACTCATTCAACATATGTATATCTGTTTTAACCACCAGAGTTTTCTTTGATAACTGATTTAAAAATGCTTTCAGGGGGTGCCCAGCCGGTGTGGCTCAGTGGTTGAGCATCGACCCATGCACCAAGAGGTCACCAGTTTGATTCCCAGTCAGGGCATATGCCCAGGTTGTGGGCCAAATCCCCAGTGAGAGGCATGCAGGAGGAAACCAATCGATATTCTCTCTCATTGATGTTTCTATCTCTCTCTCCTTCTCCCTCCCTTTCTCTCTAAAATTGATAAAGAAAATATGGGGACTCTATTCATAGTTATTCAGAAATAAATAAATAAAATACAATAAAAATGCTTTCAGGGGAATTCAAGATGGTGGCGGAATAGGTAGAAGTTACACTTACATTTTCCAAGGTCAAAACCAGAATTACAACTAAGTTATAGAAAAATCAAACTGAATAATAAACTAAAGACTAAACGGTAGAGGACTTACATCTAAGAATTTACAGAAGAAACCACATCAGCACTGGTAGGAAGGGCAGAGATGCTAAAAGGGTTGGCCCTACACCCACTTGTGGTGGCTGAGAATCTGGGGGGACATTTCAAATGCAAAGATCCCTCCTGAGTAGCATGGGATCTCAACCCCATGCTGGGCTCTCAAGTCTGGAGCACTGGCGCCAAAATGAGGAGCATAGATAACATCTGGTTGTGAAAATCAGTGGAGATTCTGTTCACCAGAGAGAGACAGAGGTCTGCTAGAAACCAGGTGCCCTCTAAAAGAGCCAGCACAGTCCTGGCCAGTTTGGCTCATCGTTTAGAGCATCAGCCAATGAGTCAATTCCATTCAAGGGCATGTATCTGGGTTGCAGTTCAGTCCCCAACCCTTGTCAGTGTTATGTGGGAGGCAACCAATTGATGTGTCTCTCTCAGTTGATGTCTCTGTCTCTCTGTCTGTCTTCCCCTCCATTTTATCTGAAGATAAAATGGAAAAATCCTCAGGTGAGGATTAAAAGAGCCAGTGCACAAAATCTTTTTTGCAGCTACTCACCCTGGAGTCCACCAGAGGTAGCATGGCTCAGAATGTCCTCAGACTCAGCACTGGCACTGAGTTGGGATCTATATCAGTCTGGTGAACACCATTCACCCCTACCTGGTAATTCATTGAGAATATACTTCACTTAACTCATGTACCACCAGAGACTTTTTCAGTTCTGGATCCTAACAGTTAGCCAGAGCAGGAGGAGATGGATCTCTGGTGCCTTAGGTCTTTTGCTGGCCTGCCCCCTGGCTCTGTTCTGGTGGAAACTGGCCTCAGTGTTCAGCTTGGCTACTCCCATGCACACTCTTGCCCAATAGCGGTACCTACAAACTGTGGATCGTTTAGTAATTCCAAACAGGTAACCCAGGGCCAAACACAGGCAATGCCTGATATTAACTCGCACTGGAGTCCCTCACAAGTTGCCCCAGAACCAACACAACTGGTGGCAGGATTTAGATCATATCAGAGCATAACTCAATTAGGTATACAAGCTGCACACAAAAAATTAGATCTCAGCAGGCACTAGATCCTGCTGTAGTGAATTATGCTTTCTGGGGTCAGCCTCTGCACAGCAACTCATACAGTGTGGTTAGAGTTGATTCTCATAGTCAGCTAGCCAGAGGGGCAACCTTACCCATGGGTGGGACAACAGCAATCAAGATAAAACTACAACAAAAAAGTTTACATAACCCACACAAGAAATTTCTGGAGCACCTAGCTCAGGTGATCAGGGAGATGCATCACCGAGGCCCACACAACACTTGCTATATAAAACCAACATACCAAGACTGAAAGGCATAGCATATCTACCTAGTACACAGAAACAAATACAGAGAGGCAGACATAACAGAGAGACAAAGAAAAATTCCACAAATGAAAGAACAGGAGAAATCCCCCCAAGATCAACTAAATAAAATGAAGGCAAGCAAGCAACCAGATGCAAATAAAATGAAGGCAAGCAAGCGACCAGATGCAGAGTTCAAAAATAGTTATAAGGATGCTCAAGAAAATTAATAGAAGGATGGATTAACTCAGTGAGAACTTAAACACAGAGGAAGTAAACATAAAAAGGACATAAAATATATAAAAGAGAACCAGTCAGAAATGAAGACTATAATAAAACTGAAATAAAAAATACACTAGAAGGAATCAATAGCAAGCTAGATGAAGCAGTGAATCCAGTTAGTGATTTTGAAGCCAGGATAGTAGAAAACACTGAATCAGAGCAGCAAAAATAAAAAATAATTTTAAAAAATGAAGATAGTCTAAGAACATTTGGGACAATATGAAACAACAACATTCACATCTTAGGGGTATCAGGATGAGAATAGAGAGAGCAAGAATGGAGAAACTATTTGAAAAAGTAATGACAGAACATTTTACTAACCTGGTAAAGAAAAAAGGCACACAAATCCAGGAATAGCAAAGAGTCCCAAACAGGATGAACCCAAGGAGGCCCACATCAAGACACATAATCAAAATTCCAAAGGTTAAAAATTAAGAAAGAATCTTAAAAGCAGTGAGAGAAAGACACCTACCTACAATGGAGTTCCCATAAGGCTGTCAGCTGATTTCTCAACAAAAACACTTCAGGCCAGAAGGGATTGGCATGAAATATTCAAAGTGATGAAAAGCAAGGAACAACAATCACTAGAGAAAGTTAACATTATAAATCAGTTCTTTATACCTTGCCTGCTCATTTGTTCCTCATAAGTTTATCTTCAATATTTTGCATTCTCCTGAACTTCTTTGTACTATTATTATTTATATATTTATCATTAAATAACAATGGTATTATTTTTTATTTTCAATTTTTAGATACGTATTGTTAATTTTACTGTGTACAAATATGCGTACATATATTTAATATAGAGAGCAAAGAAAGTGGTTAATATGTGGTTAAATCTTACCACTACTTTAATACAACATAAAAAAAAACCATAAAATTGAAAAACATAAAAAAAGAAATAAAATATTTGACAATAATAGCATGTAAGTCATGAGGGGTAAATGGAGTTAAAGTGGCATAGGATATTACATTGGGTAGGAGAAAAGTGAAAATACTGATTAATTTTATTCATTGGTAAGTAAAATAAGAAAGTTAAATAAAGAAACTGTACAAATAAATTACCAAAACTGATGCAAAGAAGAGTAAATCTATTTGTCCATTTAACCGTATAAGAAACCATGTCAATTGATAAACAGATTCCCACAAAAACACTCCAGGTCCAGAACAGATGGGTTCCTGACCCCATTTTACCAAATTTTCAAAAATAGTTCATTTTAAATGTTCTCCTATGGAGGTAGGTAACCATGATACCAAAACATAATTTGGAAAGTACTAGAAAGAAATCACAAGAAAATCACATTGATATGTATAAGGCAAATAATAAATATAGCACCACCTTTTCAGTTATGTGTAATAAGCTTTACGTACAAATCAGGATTATTCCAAGAACTCAAGTTTATTTTATTTTATCTTATTTTTTTAATCCTCACCTGAGAATATTTTTTCCATTAATTTTTAGAGTGAGTGGAAGGGAGGATTGGGGGCAGAGAGGAATGAAAGAAAAAGCAATATGAGAGAGACACAACTGGTTGCCTCCCACACATGCCTGACCCCAGCCAGGGATTGAATCTGCAACCCAAGTATGTGCTCTTGACTGGATATCGAA